GTGTGCTCAGCTCACATCAGATGGTTCCACCCCTGCTCACTCACAGTCAGTTGACACAACCTGTCACCTGCACAGGTAATTTGGTGTGGAAAAGAGCCATAACCAGGTACCTTTCTGCCACTGAGGCAATCAGGTGCTCCAGACAAAAGCATGTTTGGTGTCCAGGATGAATAGGGTGGCCTAATCCTTAGATAACTGTGGGGTAGGAAAAGATACCACATGTCTGATTATTAAGCTCAGGTGACTCAAGATACATGAAGCTGAGTGCCATTTTTGGTTCAAATGGGTAAACCTAAGCTCTAAAGTTGTAAATCTCTCTGCCTCCTTGATGTAACAGATGCTGAAATGTTTACCTTTGCTGCAGATGCTGTAGGGCACGATGACAAGATCAAATTGTGGATTTTTTCTTAATATGATACGAGCAGCTCGTTAAAATCCTTTGTAGGTACTGGGCTAAAAATCTGAAATCAAACCAGCTTTGGCCAGGACAGGATGAACACAGTTACCTTGGCTGATGTTTCCAGGTACCTTTCATCCAAGACTGGATGAAAGAGCTGATCAAGTGACATTAGATAATCTGTAGGGATCTTGGGAGACAGCTTCAAGGGAAGAGAACTGCATCACTGTTTCTGATGCAGGTTGCAAATAACCTCATTGATGACCCCAGAAGTCAGTGTTCACTGGAAAAATCTTAAGCTGCCCTGGCGCAAAATGAGCCGAACATGTCTCATGAAGGAGTGAATTTCTGGGCAGAGTTTGGCCTTCTGAAGACATGGGTAGCAATGGCATGACTGTTATTTGCACCATCACACTTCCCCTAAACATGCCAGGGAAATTACTTAACTTCAAGATGGGCTCAGTGTCCTGTTGCTCTTTGCTGCACTCAGAAGAACTTTGTAAAACTCTCTTTGTGTGACAAGAAGGAACCAACCTCACAACCAGAGCAAGAACATTCTATTGCCAACATGAGTTCTTGTAACAGTGATCTCTGGAAAGAATGGAAAAGGTGGATTGAAGGTGAGGAAGATGAACAAGCCCTGGCAGTTGTTCTGAAGTCACCTGAGGTCGAGCCCAAATGAACCTGATCATCTGAGTGTTACAGAGAACAGGAAGGAAAATGAAACACAGTGAGAAATGGGTCTAAAAAAATACATCATAAAATTATTTGGTTCTAAGAGTTGATGTAAAGAGTAGCCAAAGAGCAAAGCATTATCTCCTTAACACCAGACGGTTTTACAGCTCTGCTTCCTCAGAGAGGAAGTTTTGAGCTGCCTGTCACACCTTTGTAAGCAGCTGATTTATTTGTAATGAGGCAGCCCAGTGGCATAACTGGTGCTACAAACTCTACTTTTGTGTCCAGTAACATCATGTTCTGTGTACAAGAAAGCTTCAGACAATAGCTCTATAAAAACCCTCAAGCCTTTCTGAGAGAAAGACAGTGGCCAAGAAGGATGTTAAACCCACGAGACTTGATAAATTTACAGTTTATTTAATGATAAGGAGCTGGACTGCAGGATGACTCATCTTTACAGTTGTACACTGTGGGGCTGTTTGACTTAGGAGTTCTATCCAGGGCTGCAACAGCAAAAAGAGATATGGAAACATGAATAAAAGCAACCTCCATTGCTTAAGGTGTGACACAGGACCAGATATTTTGGGGATATGTGTATTAGTAGGGCTGAGCAGAAATTTAGTGCTTCTAAAGCTGTGTGCCCACACTAGAATGGTTTTCAGACAGGTAGGCAGGGCAGGATACACTGTGTTTCAAACTCATGCTAGATTTAGGCTCCTTTAACCAGGTAGGGCAGTCTCATGCTATGATGCTGTGACAGGAAAAACAGTCATGGCAAAGAGGTTCCCAAGGAAAAAGAAGGTAAAGGGAGAAGGTCTCCATGATGCTCATAAGAAACAGAGAATATTTTCGGAAAAAATAAGTGTTGTACCACACAAAACAGAGATTTGAACATAATTTTAAGAGCTGAAGGCAGTGCTCAACTAGGTGCAAGATAGATATACCAGATTTTTAAGAAGACCTGAAGACATTGGTCGTGCCCTACTGGTTTATAGCAAGTGCAAGGTGTTCTGCAACAAGGGGGGTGTAAATGGACCTTACAGATAATGGTACAGCTCTGGTTTTAAATGCCTGGGGGTGTGTGAACTTCTGCAGGGTGAATGTCCTTCCTAATCCACAGACTCTTTCCAAACGTTATGAAAAAAGCTGGATGGAAATTCCTGGGAATCACTGGATGGTTCCAAAGGAAAGTTTTTCGTAGGTCATGAGAGAAGACCAGTTTCTTGTCTGCCTCACAAGACCTAGACAAAAATGCATCTAACAGGGAGGAAGAAAGTGTATTTATTACTTTGTTCTGTTTAAATTTAGCCCCAAGTCACAGAACCACACCATGACTGGGACACAACCCCTGTAAGAATCAGCCCAAGACACAGAGGTGGCCAGTCTTGGTGAAGCAAAATGACAGCAAAATGTTCTCCTAAAATCATCTTGTGCGAGCTTATTCTTAATAATTATTCGTAATAAATAAGAATATTTAATAATCTTATTATTCTTAATAATACCTTGGCTGATATGATACTCATTTTAATAGTGTGCAGCAAATGACAGGGGACCAGAAATTACCAGCTCAGGACTTGCAACTGAAAGCACCTTTCATTAGACTACTAAAATTACATAAAGTCATCTACTTTTCCTGCTCTCCCAAGACTGCCTGCAGGAGGGCCAAAAATCACAGTCCATTTAGAAAAGCTGGGAAAAAAAAAGTTTCCTGAGGAGCCTTCCAGTACTTGCTAAACCAGCTGTTTAGAAAACATCTGAAGACACCTGGAATTTCATGGAAATGCCACTACACTTCTGAAATGAGTAAGATCCATTAAAAAAAAAAAATCAATTCTAAGCATTAGAAATCAGAAGAAATAAATAAGTAGAGAAGTCCCTAAGTAATAAGCCCTCCACTCAGATTTCACTCACTAATTGAATTTCTTTTCTGCTCTAGTTAATGTTTTACTAAGGAATCACTCTCAGCTCTTGGGTGATACCTGCTAATGAAGAGCTAAACGATGTATTTTGCAAACTGGATTTTAAACTATCTCCCTAAACCTATTTCCATAGTCTGTGTTAAGCTTGGAACTTGCAGAGTTGGTGTAATTAAGAAGGCTGTTGCTAATCTTTTTAATGCTAAACTTTTTAATGCCACTTTCCTGGACTCCTGTAAGCAGTGTGAGCTTACTTTCAGGTTGGATAATTACTTTTATGAGAGGGTGAGGCATCAACACTGTACTATATATACCATTTTTGATTGGGCAAACTCACCATTTACACCTATAGGGCTGCATTTTCAGCAGTCCAGAGGCCTTTGGGTACATTTTTTTCCCCCTGACTTCTTGTGAGACTATGGGTCTTCTTGAAATTATAGCTAAAAGTGCTAACAGCACATTTCCAAAGCAAGATGAGCTGCCTCACAGCTCCTGTTAGCTCGAATGACTTGAAATAGTGTATCATGAAACAATAAATTGATGTGGCTCACTTGCTAGGTCTGCAAGCTAACTCGAAATTAACCATCATGGATAAGCTAAAAATAAAGGGATATATGCCCCTCAGGTTTTCACATGAGGGAAAATATTCGTCCTCAATATTGTCATCTATTACCATCACACTGTGCCATTTCCAACACAGGGGTTGTCCTGCTGGTGAGGGGATGGCTTGTCATGGGTGGCAAGACACAAGTGATATGGAAACTTCATAAATGCTGTCACCTACTGCAATTATTAGCCCAGCAATCAGTTAAATATTCAAAGTGAATATTCTGCTCTCCTGGAGGTGGTCACTCCAGGTAGGTGTGGGCACTCACAGCCAGAGCTGAGCTTGTCAGAGGCCAGCAGGACCCTCTCCAAAGGGTTTTAAGAAATGAAATAGTAACCCAGAGGGAACAGGGCAGAATCTTGTCCTGCCAGAAGCTCTCCTGTGGGTGGGGAATGCCTGTCTTGTAAATGGGTCCATCTTGCCACTGCTCACTATGTTTAAAACCCAGTGGAAATAACTGTATGTGGTGAGCAGGGCATCAGACTGGAAAAGACAGAGAAATAAACTACCTGAAAAACCCCAAACTGCTGGCTCTGTGCTCTATGTCACATGGAAAGGGTCTGGCAGAGGTCCAGCCACTCTCCCCTCTCCGTTCCCAAAAGGCTGTTCTCACTGACAGCCATAAATGGAACCCAAAGAAGACAAGCACGAGGGTGTGCAATGGGTTAACCGGGAGCAGGAGCTAAAGAATTATCCTCATTGTTCAGTGCACTTCGTATTCCCTTCCACTCTCGGGCTCCAACAACACAGAGGAACAAGCCATGCTTCAGTCTTGAAAGAAGAACATACTAGAAGCTCACTAGTCACTAGGGAAAGATCTTTCAGTGGTTACTGAAACAGCTGCGCAAAGGAAATAAATGAATTTCCAGTCATAATATTTACACTTCAATCAAAAGCACAGGAAATTTTAATTAGGCAAATACAGTTGTTCATTTAACGCCACATATGTAATAGAACATTGGTTTATATCATCATCATCATCATCACTGACTTTTAAGTCAACAGGCAGGTCTGCAACAGGAGGTTTTTCAGGAATCCTACAGCAACACATACACACAAACACACAAACCACACGTAAAAAAGTAGCTTGCAAAAGGTAAGTAAGGTTAATGGCAAAAGCTTCTTTCTATGCAGAGGAAACTGAACATTAAAAGCTGCAGCGTTAGAAAAAAAAAAAAAGAAGTTTAAAAACAAGAAATGAAATTGTACAACAGATGAGAACTTAACAAAATCGGTGACCTTTCCACACAGATGAAGTCGGGTTAAAAAAAAAAACCAAAAAAACAACAAGCCAAACCAAAACCAAAGGAGACCAAAACCAAATGAGACCAAAAGAGAACCTCCCCCCCACACACATACAGACAAAAGTGAGAGCACAACAAAGGAAGTGGAAGAAAAGTGTTACCCATAAGTAGCCGCCGTTTCACCCGCTTGTCCACATCAGCTACTGACGTGGCATTGTACTCAGAACTCTCAATTGCAGCCTCATCCTTCTCTAAAACACAAGTAAGGGACAAACATGGAGCAGTTGGTTAATCACAAGCCCAATTTTCCGCTGCCTAAGACAGTTTCTTGGCATGGCACAGCCAAAGCCAAGAAGCAAGGCATGAAAGCACTAAATCCCCGTTAGAGAGTTAAGTCCCTTTGAGACCCCAGGAAAAAATGACAGGGTGTTCAGGGAGAGGAGGAAGGAAGAGGGTGAGAAGGGAGGATGGTCGACTGTGAAGTAATTAACGACACACAGGAAGCTGGATTCCTACTGGAGGAGAAGACAGCTAACCATGAGTGCCCCAGAGAGGTGTTAGTGATGAAAATTAAAATTCAGGAAGGCTAGTTAAACAAACTACCAAACTGTGGTTCAGGCTGATGGTGGCACCAAGATCTGAAGGTGGCAGGCAAAAGACTAAGACTAAGACTAAGACTAAGACTAAGACTAAGACTAAGACAGACAGAGAGAGCAAGAAGAGTCCGGTGATGGATGCACCATAGTCTTGTACACACTGACACATCAGAGAAGGAGAAACCAAACACCAGCATGCAAATTAAACAAAAAACAACACCAAAAAATAAACAAACAACAAACCAAACAAACACAAAAAAAGATCAATTTGGGCAGTGCTGGTTGCCTGCTTGTCTATGAAACACTACTAGCTAAACATTCAATGCTAGGAAAGATGTTGCAAGAAGAGGGTTTAGTAATTTTAGAAGCATGCAGTGAGCAAGAAGATGGCATCAAAGATCATTTGACAAGGTGGTCTCTGATATCCTACATGTAAGAGTTTCATACAGCATGATGAGGACTTTGGTTATGCTTCGTTAGAAATACACAGAAACAGTCACGAGTGTGGGAAGAGATGATCAGTAGGTGAAATAAAATTAAAGATTTCTGATACAGGAGAGCGATGGAGAAGCAGCAGCTGGGTAAATAAAATGACTTCTAGGAAGAGGGAAATGCTGATTAGGAAAACTAAAACGAAAAATGCAAGTGGGGACTTTCACATGCAGCAAACATAAAAAAAAAAAAAGATAAAAGGTTAAGTCAAGCAAACGAAGACAAAATATGTTAGACAAAGGGTCAACAAGTATTTATCTGGCATTGCAGAAGTTTGCATTCTTGCAGTGATGCCTGGAAAATATACACCACTGAAGACAGCAAACACTGGAATCACTGAGGTGAGGAGGAGGAGGAGGCTGGCAGGTTTTGTTTGTGGCAACACTACATGGTTGAGTGGTAACAAGAAGTTGTTTTGTTTTGTTTTTAACAAGTTCTAGATGGGATCAGGCTGCAATAGAGGCTTTTGTTTGAGTTTTTGTTTTGTTTTGCCTTTTTTTTTTTTTCTCTGTAAATAATTAATAAACATCAGTTATCAGACAAGACAGGCAATCAGGAACCATCACCAGAAAGCAGGAATAAAAATGTAAAAAAAAAGAAATAAAAACTTAAAAGTATTCTAAGAGAAAGAACTATTCAGAGGGACGAAAATCAGCACAGGCAGTAATATGTGACTTACATCACAAGACCAAGGAATGTAACATGGAGTTGTATGTATTACATTACAAAAATGGGAAAAAAAAAGTAAAAAACAGGTGCAGTGTACACAGCTTTTCAAATCATTTTTTACATGCTGGACAAAATAAAACATCAATCCAAGGGTATTAGTGAACGATAATAAACAGAAGATCAATTAACCATTCAATAAAACCTGCTCTCAAAGCCCTCACCAGTGGAAAAACCATTATGGATTTTAGACTCTGATCCATCACCAAGAATTTTCAAATGTTAACTTGCACTATGCAAAAATATCCTTTATTCTTTTCTTTTTTTTTTTTCTCTTTTAAAGCAGAGTGGAAAGAAATGACGTTAAGCAAATAATACATTTTCTAACCATAAATGTTTGCATGGCATCTCCCCAGATGCTCCGTCTCTTGAACAGCTTTTTTCCTAATGATATTCTGAATGAAAACTTACTCACTACAGGTATTATAATTTTTACAACCATAAATCATACAACAGGGAAGAAGGTACATCCTGATGACTAATTTTCCCTGATAACAGCTTAGAAAAGAAGGTTGTTTTCCTAACCTTGCTTTGTGCAAGGAAGTCTTGACTCATGGAAGTGAAGGGAAGTGCTGAACTTTCATTGGAAATTATGTTCTACACCTTTTTACTTAAAACATTATGTTCTACACCTTTTTACTTCAAAAATTACCTTCTACACCTTTTAACTTGCACAATTAATAGAGTTATGAAGAGAAACAAAAGTTGCACGTGAGTAACAAAGGGGATACTTCATTAACACACGTTTTGACAGAACATGCACAAAATGCTTCTCTCTCTGCCCAGCGTGACCTCAGCCACAGCAGGAACTTCTCTCAGCAGTGGTGCTGAACCCCTGTGAGGTACAAACACGCACACCCACTCATATACACACACACACACAGGTGTAGACATGAGCACTCTGTGAGGAGCCCGAAATAAAAGGCGCTGCAGAGCAGGACTTACCGATGCAGGTTCGGCCGTCGGAGTGCAGGGCGTACTTCTGGTGACAGCCACACACAGGCCCAGTGTCTGTGTCATCACAGGTGTGCTGGCAGCCTCCATTCCCATAGTTACAGGTTACTAGTTAAGCCCCAAATGAATGTGTATATATGTATATATAAATAAAACGACAATGAAACCAATTAGTCTGGAGGGCCTTGTGGAACAGGGAAGAGCAGTAACATACCAAGACATGAGGCAACATAACATTTTGTGTTTGCAGTTATTTTGTGCTTCTTCTGCTTTTTGCTCCCCTCCCTTATGTCTGTCTCCTGTCCCAACCTCAATCCATGCAGTGGAGAGAGAAAAACCCAGCATGTGCTATATTTTCCCCAGTCTATCTGTATTATAAATTTTAGTAGGGGTGGGTACCCAGTTCCACCTCTTCCTAAAATTCATGTCCAATACACATGTATATTTTCAAGTCTATAGACAGCATCTCTCGTTTGCTCCCCCTTCATCTCCTCGTTTTGAAATGTTACAGTAATTTAAAAGCTGACTCCTGCTTTCAGAAGGAACTTCCTCACATTGGTCTTAGCAGAATTTTCCTTCTAGCTTAAGAAAATTTAGAGAAGCAAATTGCAAGATACACTAAAATCAAGATAATGGTTAACAGGGTTTGAAAATCATGTATCTGTCTCTAAACTGAGGTTCTATCTAATGCAAGAGGGCTGAGCTCATCTGTTTTCCCACTGAACTCAGTGACCCTGCTTTAATCCCACCTTCTGAAAATGGAGTAGACCGGAATTTTCAGTCACAGTGCCCAGAAATGAGATTTCTCCCCTCTGGTGTGAGCACCTCAGTGCTGAGCTGTCATGTCCCTCTCAGTAACCACTGAAATGTTGAGCTTAAAATGGAACAGTTCTAAGAAAAGCAGCTGAGGGAGACCCACCCCAGCACACCCAACAGAATTCCCGTCAAAGCCTCCTGCCGGTGTGGGAACTACGAGCTTACAACTCCAGGCCTTGAAGTCTGGCAAAGATTCCAACAGGAATTGTCCATCTCTCAGGTGGGCACAGACCTGAGGCCACTACGGGTGCATCCCTGGTCCTTCCCACTGAACACCTGGAATAAAATCCCTGTGCTGTTCAGGGACAGAGAGGGAACAGCCTCGGTGCCCAGGGCTAAGAACAATCTCTGAGAGAGCCTGCCTGGATTCCCACCTCACTTTCCAGGAATATCTATCCAATTGCAAGGAATGCCAGTGTGAAAGGTGGAGAGCAGCCTGATCCATGTTCCCTTACTGGAGCTTTGTGCACTAGACTGGGAAATGGGAATTGTGGGTTCAGTCCCACCAGACAGAGGAGGGAACTGAACTCACATACCCCAAGTTGTAAGAATCCTAAACTTCCAAGGAATTACATTAAAAAATCCCCCTAAGCAACAGCCACCCTCAGGCATTCTTTCTCCTCTTCCACTTTTACAGGTTAACTAATCATTTATTTTTGTGGAAAAAAACCCAAACAAACCACCTGAAACAAATAATTCTGCAACATTTCTTTCCCTTCACTACACAGCAGCATTTTAGCTTCTATTTTTGATGCAAACCAAACAAAATTTTATGTCAATTCTCTGTTCTTAAACCTCCCATCTTTGATTTGTGCTAACCCAAGGTAAAGTGATTTTCCTCTACCCTTCCTCCCCTCCTGCCTGACCCCATGTGCCTCTAGGACTATATGGAGGTTCATTCCATGTTTCTATGCCATCACAAATTAACTTAAAGGTCTTGTTTATGCCAGAAGTTTGAATACATTTCAGTATTTTTACTGAGATTTTTAAAGTGCAATCAGCAACAAAGCCCATATTTTAAAAAACTTGACTGCAGTGGTTATTTTTGGCATTCCCTGCTGAAAGCCTCTGCTGGCAGGGATGAAAATATCTGATGTAAATATGAGGAACTTTTCCTTACTATATTTGTCTGTGAAAAAAAATCCAGACTGATGGCATTTATAGTAAACCCTGCAGAATCACACACTTCTTTTACAGTTTCCCTGTATATTAAAGTTACTGGGTCCTGTTCTACCCAGTCAGGGAACACAGATGTAGGTCAGTTCCTTTTCCTGTCTCCTACAAACATTAGTAAATCACGTTTTTGAAGGATTTGAATTTCTGTCTAGACTACAATTTATTTATTTATTTATTTTAAGCAACTTGAGCCAAAATTCTGGAGTTTGACAGCCCTGCAGGTGAAATTGGTACAAAATCCAGTTGTAAAATATGTCATTTCGATTTTCTTCCAGCCCTAATTCCGTGGCAGTGACACGGTGAGAAGTTTCTCTTGCTTAGAGGAAGAAAATCGTAATTATTTAAAAGCAAATGGACATCCAGATCTACTCCATTTTTGTCAGAAAGAATTAAAGCAGTGTTACTGAGAATTCCCAAAGTGTTCTTTTTAAAAATCATTTCTGATTAATCTGGACTCTGCAGCCATGCAAAGGACTGTGTGCTCATTCAGAGTCTATGAAACCCAAGAGGCAAGCAAAAAGAGGCAAAATGGTAAATTCTGACAGACACACATCACCTTAAAATATTATAAATCATGTAACAATAAAAGAGATGTAAAATAGTATTTTTTTTTAACCAAAGGAGAATATACACCTGTCTGTTAGAACTCAGACATATTTATTCCCACATAGCAGATTTAAAACCAGAGTAGCACCATTGCTTTAGACACCAGAGCCTACATCCATAGAAATATATATGGACTAGTCTAGAAATGACATTTTGATGATGAAAGACAAGAAACAACTGTCTGGATTAATGTACATATTCCACTAGATAATGATATTGATGGTTAAACTCCCCAGAAGACAGAAAATACCAGAATTCTCACTCTACACCCTAAATCCTGTTTTCAGTGCTTCTCTGAGGTTTCAGAGAATCCTTTTTTTTTTGTTTCTCCCATCTCACATGCCCATGACAAGGAGTATTTGAAAACACGTGGCCAATTATTAAATCCAGCATTTAGTGCCCAGTAACTCAAAAAATCCCCCAGGACAACAATGTCCTGATCTTGTCCTGAGAGATATTCCTATGGCTCAGATGCCACAGAATTCGTCACAAGCCAGGTCTTATGGTTTTGTAGAATGGATCTCTGCAACAATTCAAACATTGTAATTCCAGATAAATTAAAAACTGCACTGCTCTTTAACTAAATTGGTCATTAAATACATAATTTACCTTAATATATGGGTTTCTCTTTTTTATGTGATTGAGCTGTGCATGCAACATTGCTTACATTATTTATTCTAGTATAGCTTTAGATTTTTAACATTCTGAAGGTCTTTTACTTGTTTATAACTCTTTTAGGTTGCAACTTGCAGGCATGTGTATCTGCTTAGGTTTCCTCTTACTTTTTCAACTTCCAGCTAATAAAGAGATGAACACAAAATGTCCCGGTTTGCTCATATTTGGGGGGGAAAAAATCTTCAGTTTATAAAAAATTTCTAATGCAATCAGGCTCAGGAGCAGGATCCTAAAATCTCTCACGGACACAGATGCAGAAAGAGGAGGTAAATTCTCATATTTTCTCAATATAATCTGGAACCAAATTCACTACTCTGAGGTCTCTTCTTTCTGCTGCCAGCAAGTATCTATGAGAATCACTGATAAAACATAATATTCTTCTAATAAAGCCATTAAAGCAGTTTTTACAGAAATATCAGTAAACTCCCAGAAGCTGAAGTTTACTGAAGTTTTGGATCTAAAGGATGCAGCTCATCTGAGGAATTATGTATGGATCTTGGTGTTTTTCTGGATGACCTCTTGAGGTCCCTTTAGTCCCACTGTTTTCTCAGCATGCTGGGCAACTGAAAAATGGCATCCTTCAAATTTACACCAAGAAACCACTAAGGCTGCAATCTTAAGCACTCAGAAGCTGCAAAATCCCAGACTTCTTGTCCACAGATCCCTTTTATCATGATCTCTCTCCTTACTGACAAAGGCAGAAAACACTCCTGTGTCATTTAGTGCACAGGGAAGCTGGGGAAGGTCAGGGCTGTGGTAACAGCTGGGCATCTTTTCCCATTTGCTGCAGAGTGAGGAGCAAATCAGAGATGGACTGTCAAGAAAGAATGGTCTTGTCCAGACAGAGCCCTAAAAACTCTGATCTACTTCTGCCCTCGCTGTGGAATTCCTACTCAGGGCTTGGCAAGTCACCTGGATCCCTTCTAGTCCAGGTTACTGATACTATATTCCTTTCTCCATGGCATTTGCAGCTCCAGCTGGAGCCACCAGGAGCTGGGCTGGGATCACACCAAAGTGCTATAAATGAATGCTGAGCTGGGTTCTGTGTGTTTCTTGTTCATCTCCTCTCACTCCTAAATGGCTTTGACATCACCATCTTTATATTCATTTCCCATCTGTAAGACAGGCAAAGCAGCACTTTGTAACTTGACAAGAATGTTCTGAAAACACACTGCCAACGCCTACAAAGCACTTTGATATTACAGTAATGAGTATCATGGGAAAACCCACGAGGAAATTAAAAATTTCAGGTTCACAGTAGGGTTTAAATGCTGTGCAGCAGGAGAGGCATGACACTAAATTATGGAGAGGAGGATGTTGAACACAAGCCTGTTCAATGAGCACTGACCATCATGTACAGTGAATAAAGCAAGACACCAAGAGTGCCTTCCTTATCAGCATGAGGTGATAAATGATCAGATGTTCATGTGTGATTATGTAATTAGAATTTAATGACAATCTTGTCACTTGCAAAACTCCAGCTCAGGGTTTAAGCCAATCCTGCTGAAATGGTCAGCTGTGAAAAAGTTTTTTTAAAAGTCAGTATTTGGTTTCAGAACTAGACCTTTATAAAGAGCCTGCTGTAATCTCACAATTATTTTCCCAGGCTATGTGGCTATTTTGTGTTTGTGAGGGCCAGAAGTAGTTGTTTTAAATGAAACTCTGCAACACGCCTGCAGAATGTGTTGTGGGTTCAGGGGCTGGTACACTCCAAAGTAAGGTCTGCAGCCTTGAAAAACTCAACATCCTCACTCAGAGGTCTGTCAGCAGAAGTTCATTATACTTCCAGCTACAATGTGAACACCACAGGGGCACAGAATAAATTGAGGTTAAACCTTGAGGCATTCAGAAATAATGTTCTGGAAAAGGCTTTCATACTCCTGCCACCATCTCAGTATGAAAAGGGATACTGAAATTCCTAAAGAATACACAGTTTGAGGAAACAAATAACAAACAGCATAAATAAACATCCTCTCCCACTTCACCAATGTAGCTGATGCTGCACTGCAATTACCAGCACGCAATGTTCACTTCTGATAAACACTGGGAATGGAAATTACCATAAATGCAATTTTTCTCTGTGCTTTTGCCTTTGGCCCTGTGTAACCTCTTAATACCCTGCAGAAATCAGGCTGTATGATATCCTGTGGCATTCCTTGGTGATAATCAAAGGTGATTCTTTTGACTTTGTACTTGGGAACTGATACCATCTCACCATGCTTATACAGTGGAGATCTCAGGAAGACAAAACCAGAAGTGTAAGAAAGACTGCCTCAAAAATACTGGCCCTGTGCAAAGCACCAAACATTTTTCACGTTGTTTCATTAAACTTCCTTCTTTTTTGATCTCTCACAAAGCTACCAAGAAGCTACTGGAGTCAGATCTAACACTCACTGAAGCCACCAGAAAGCCTCAATCCTGAAGTTTTCAGGTAATGATGCTGAGGTCAATTATTTCAACCTGAACAGGGAGATTTCTAATTTTGTGTGCTAATGAGGATCTGTATCTTCAGCATCCCAGCTTCAAGAACTGGGGGCTTTTCTCTGAAGAACAGTACATATGATACAGCTGAATGTTTTCCAGGTAATAAAAGGAAAGCTAGACTGTGTGCAGTGGAATCAGGACTAGAGCAATCATTTCCATCCTTCCAAAAAGAGGAATTCACACTCTTAATCTGATAGTCTGGTGGCTTTATCATTAAATCCATTAGTAGACTTATCAATGTATCTGTCACTATGGTCTTCCCAAATATTGCAAGCCAGAACCCACTATGCTTTATTTGTGTTGTTTTACAAGGAAAGTCTCCATTAAACTGATCCTTCACTTTTCTGCTTTCATAAGGAGGTAGAAAAATTGTAACTATTTTGTCAAGAGAGCCACTGTCAAGATTTCAACATTCCATCATTCAATCCCTCTTACCCATCCCCAAATACCCCTTCCACAGCAAAAATCCCACATCGCTAACATTACAAATCATCTCTGGTCAAAACAAAGTTAACTCCTTCTGGAACACAACAACAACGAAGAAAACAAGACATTTTGGGGCATTTGAAATTTAATCTTCATCTACCTACATTTGCAGTCCTTCTGGTTTTTGGCAAGCTCAAAGCCAGGCCTACATTCACAGGCAACCCCACCTTTGGGCGTCTCCCGGCAGATGTGTGCACACCCATGATCTTTGTTCATACAGTTCATACCCTCTGGGAAGAAAAAAAAAAAGAGAGAAAAATGGAAATTATTAGTATTGAAGTAAAATTACAAAATGATTATACATCCCCAGTCCTCCAGCAACTTTAACTTTCATTTTGCTTGTTCCACGAGACAAGAGGACAGAGTTGAAAAGAGATTTATAATCAACAAAACAGTGTAATACAAGTCAAACTTCCTCCTGGGCAAATACTGCTGTGGACTACAGGGTGTCTCTGTTGCATGTGGAAACTCAGAACTTGTGACTTACTTAATCTGTATCTATATTTTAATTTTCCATGAAAATGTTATGGATTTAAAGGATACTCCAGCAATGTCCCACTGGTGATTATCAGAGTTCAACGACTGAACTCACTGTCATTTTTTTCCTTGTATAAATTTAATGGCTGTTACTGTCTGGTGCATTTTTATTTGCCTGTTAATGTGTTTTATATTTTCTAACACACAAAATCCATCAAATACTATAACTAAGTGGATCTGTTTCTTTTCTGCTGTTTGTTATGCACCTCAATTATCTGTCACCTCCAACAAACCTACCACCACTTTTCCCTTTGACTCTACGAAACAAAACACACAAATACCCACAAGTGCCGTGGGTGGATTCCTGGTAATGTTTGTGCCAGGGAACAGCGTAAATCAGCTTTCTTTGAACCATCACAGTGCCAGTTTTAGCTTTCTAAACCATGTAAGTGATTTAGATACTGAATGCACCTTATGCTCTTAGAGCCTTTCACTGCTGTGTTAATTCAAACCCCACATATTCACAGAAATCTTGAACTCAGCTCTTATGGGTCAGCATCTAACATTCCTTGTGGGAACGAAGGCTAGCCACATTTGCATTACAAAGCCTTCCCAGACTTCCCCTTGGATATCTGACCTGGAAAGGAGAGACAAATTCTCTCAGAGTACACCGACAGAGAATTCACAGTGTAACTCAGCTTGCTGCCCGAAAACAGCATTTATTCCCCAAAACACTGGTGTGAGCAACATCACTGTGGACTCAAGAAGGCACTTGACACTTTGCAACACCTACTCCTATCTATTCTAGGCTAATTTTTCAAAATAACTCCAGTGTAAAATGTTCAGCTTAAATCTACTGTAAGCAAATGGGGGGTTTTTGTACAAATTTTTGAGGAGGAAATGCTACAGAAAGCCAGAGATTCCCTCAGGTTGTCAGAAGTTAACAGCTTCAAGAAATTTTTTCTCTCCTCAGTTTTACCTCTGAAAGGTTTATATCAGCTGAGGAATGCAAAACACACATCACCAGTCCTACAGAAGATATCAGGATCTTAAACCTCATCACCTGTAACAACCCACATACATTATAGACAGCAGATATATTTATTACTTCTGAATTCCCCTCTGTGTTGTCCTTGATGAGTCTTAAAACTTGCCAAAACACAAAATAAGTTATTCTTTGTAAACTTTGCAGCCTGGACAACAGATGCTATTGTGAGATACAATACATCCTATAAGCCATAATACCATCCTACACATCAAAGTGAGGTATGAACGTTTTGTTTGGCTGAACAGATACAAGAAACCTGGGAATGGCCTTAGTGAAGGTTTTGAGGCATTTTATAATCTCTTTCTCTCCACTTCTCCCAACAAAGGATTTCAGACACAATGTGTTTGTCAAACTGCATTCCTGTGCACTCCAGCTCTGCCCAGAAAAGGATCTGGGAAAGATAACACATGGCTGATTGAGTCACAGTGCTGAGGCAATGAGGAGAGGGAATTACATAGATGAAAGAAGATATTTAAGGGCCCAGAAGAGTAATGAAGCAAGTGATTTTTCACTGGTTACTTACAGATAGTGAATATCTGCCATTGTTAAAATCACTTGGGAAGACAACATAAAATACTGGGGGAAATCGAAGCTCAAAATCATTACACTGTGAAACAAAAGTGAGACAAGAGCAGAATTTTATCCTGCTATTTGTGTGTAAGACCACAATATTTCAGTTACTAAAATATTTTAGTAAATATTTTCATACAATTATTTTAGCTATTGTATGAATCAGGTAGTCAAGAGTTGTAGAAAAACTATTTCAGTTCCATGTTTAGCTGGAGATCACCACAGAAATCTCCTAAGCCTGAAATTCATTATTTTAGATAATGCTAAGTTTTTTCCTAGTGAAATGAAAGGCTATTATTTTTCGGTCAAGAGCAGGAACTCGGGTGCAATGAAAATTCTCATTTTTATTTCAGCATTTTTCAAAATCCCTAAAAATTAAATTACAAAAAACTGCTAAGCAAAACTTTTCTAGCCTGAAGAAATATATTGAAAGACGAATGCAGCAAATTTTACCTCGCTAAAAAAAAGGTGATCTAAACCAAATTTGTCTCAATTGGCAAATAGTTCTAATAATTCCAAATTTAAATTTTTCAGCAAATACAGTATTTGGCCAGATGTCTTCTGTATCAATCTACATACACAAGTAATTTATGAATCATTGTTGATAAATCAAGTTTACCTTTTTTGCAAGCTGACCCTTCAGACGATATTGAATCTTTAATGATACAGCATATAAATCACACTAAAAATTGCAAAAATATGCTAAACACCTTCCTAGTAATAATTTTTGTTGCTACAGAAATGCATATAAATGGGAGAGAAAAATACTCCTAAAATGACTTTGTTCAGTATTCCTGTCAGCATCTGCATCATCACTCAGGTTTGGAACACCAGGAGCTGTTCCCAGCTGGGATTTTTGCAGGGATCTGCATGTCCCAGCTTCTAGAACTGATGATAATTTGGGTCAAGTGAAAAACCACAGTTCCCAAATGTAGGGAGAGTCTAAATGTTGGTAAAAGAGAAGTCTGTACATCAAAAAAAAAAAATAATTTCATTAGTTTATCGTCATGACACTAAAATGCCCAGTGTTGAAAAGTCTTACATATTAACTGTTAATAAAAGCAGCATCTTAATTCCACGTGCTGTTACTCAAGGTAATCTCTAAAGCCAGCACAAGAGTGGGTGCATGTTCCCTTTGGCAGTGCTGGCAGACAGTAAAATAAACTTCTGGAACACAGACACATCCTCAGCAAATTCACCTTACAGACAGCAAAACAGAATCCACTGGAAAATATAAACAGGAAGAGAAATGCCACTTGAGAAAGGAAAACACTAATCTAATTAAAACTAAATCCTCTCTCAGCATTCTAGATACAGCTTGAGAAACTCTCTCCTGTTGCATTCCTGGATTTTTTTCTGACTTTGAGTTACAAAAGGTTGTTCATGGGGGTGTGTCAGACATGGTCCTGTGCACCCACAACCCACAGGCAGTTTTGTTCCTGGCCTAGGAGAGCTTTGGGTGTGAGTCTACCCCTTTAATCCAGTCTGCCACCTGGTTATCACAGATCTCCTAATAGTGCTGTTCTGCAAAATGTTCAGTCTGATACAATGACCCCTCCATTGTATTATGCTCTAAAAATGTTTTCAGCTCAATGGCTCTGAAAGTGCTTAAATCAGCCTGACTGTGACAACTAAGGTACTGATCAGCCTTTATTTTTCATTAACACTGCCTGTTCTCATCTTAATTAACACTTCTAGCAATTATTTCACCCCGTGGCTCATCATATGTGCTCAGATTGTCCTCTGTGTTGTCATCATTTCACTTACTCTGTGTTTACATTGCTGCTGTTTTTATAACTTTCAAATAAACAAGTTGATTCCAAACACAATCCAAAAAAGACTATTTAAATTGCACCAAAGACAAAACACAGGAATAACTTTTAGAGTGTTGTCAGACTACATGGACTTGAATGTGGTAAGAAAATATAAGAGATCTTGAACTTAACCTGTATATACACACTGGCATGCACAGTAGCATGTGCACTATTTACACTCAGTCCTCAAAGCTACATAATCACATTCTTTTTTCTGTTGATAAGTTAATTTTAGCACCAGGTACACAGTGAAATCTCTTCTTAGAGTTGCAACATGAGATACAAAAAAGTGTCTTATAAAAAATAATTTCAAAAGTTGTAGACATGATTTATGAAATTAATACATCACACATAAGTTAAATGATTCTGTTCCAGTAACTCCCAGAAGAGCTAAAAAGACACTAAATATAAGTTATATCCAAGTCATTGAATTGATGGACTCAGAGAAGCCACAGTGCTTAACTATTTCTGAACTGTTTTAAACACTTTTCTGAACATAACCCACGAGTAAAGTAAAGCATAAACCTTTATATTATTACAAACAACATGCAGTTGTTGTGGTGAGTGTCTCTCCATCAATATTAGTTATAGGGGATAATTACTTCTGCTTGGGTACAGGATCCATGTGGTGCCACAAAACTGCTACTGGGGATATTCAGGGATTTCAGGACTTCTTTCTTTTGGAGAACTGCTAATTTAAGGAATGGTAGAGTTCAACTGTAACAGGATCAGTTGATACAGTTCATAGTAAAATCTCACAGCAAAATATAACAATACCAACTATGTTGTAACTGTAATAACTATAAAGAAAGAAAGAGAATGTGGTGTGAAATATAATGTTTTTAGATGATGTGATCGTCACTTGTGGTCCTTCTTCCATGCCTGGTGCTGGGAAGAGGGGAATATATTTACAGCAGCAGAGAGAGGAAAGAATGCAAGAGGAAAACAAGTATTCCCATTTTAGTTGTTTACTAAACTATTAACGTAATGGGATTTCTTTTTGTTTATTTTTTAAAAATTGTGTGAGAAACTACAGCACTTACAAAATCCCCACAGTGGTCAATGACCAAGCAACTTAGAAAATTGACAAAGACAACTCCTCTCCAGGGTTCTTACTCTGTGAGGAATGGAATCCAACCAGAAGACACTAAGTTTATGATGGAGATGGGAACACGATGGTAGTGAAAATGTGAGATGGCTGTTTTAATGTAGCCAAATGCTACATTATTCATGCAAATTTTTGTCATATAAAAAACACACTGTTAACTTTTTTTTGTGTGGCTTTGTGGAAAGCAGCTCCCCATCCCCACCTGTGAGTGTC